CCAAAGTGAATGAGCTTCCTTCAAATATCCTCCATTATTCCTGTCTCACAATTTCTATACAGTCTGCAGGAAACAAGACAGCCACTTTGATGCAAACATCATGTAAAGTTCTAGCACAGATCAAATTTTGCTTACATCTGCCTATAGTCTGTTTCTTCTTTCATATTTGAAGTGATAAGGTTAGTAAGGATGGCATCCACTCATGGATTCTGGATGTGAAAGAATAATTTTGGATACCAATGTTAAAACTGAGTTTCTTGCTTTTCACCTTGATAATGATTTTTAGAGTCCCACTGTTTAGTTACTTATGTCCAATAAACTACAGCAAATAAAAGTATCTAAGTTACTTACAGGATAATATAGCCAAGAGGCTATAACAGAATCCAAGCAAAGAACACGTGAATCAAATTTCAGTAAAGATGTTACAACTACTTCTCAGATGCGTTGCTTCCGGAGTGAGAACTAAAGCATGAAAATACTTCTCTGTAGCAAACAGTCATGGATATTGATCCTAAGACTTCTCATGCTGAGTGGAACTCCCTAATGCTGTCAAGAAGAAATGTGAGGCAAGGCATTGCATAAGTTTCACCCTTCTAGAGGTGGACAATGTGAATTAGGTCTGCAGGTACCAAACATTCAGCTGTCCCACTCCATAGGCAAATGTTTTAGCTACTAAGATATATAAATGAAACTGGCAGTTGTCATTATCTTGCTGTGATTTTTAAGCTGTCGCATCTACTGCTTCCTGTAGAACACTGACTAGCCTTCCTCTTCAGTTACTTGTACTGCATCAATCCCATCTGGGATTTGGGAGCTGCTTGTCTAAGCATAACATTATCATGTGGTTTTAGACACCTACTTCCTTAGGTAAATTTCTGAGCATACCAGAAGGTAGAACCAGAGCCAGTTACGGAATATTCAGATTCAACAAAGAAGTACCCAGGAGGCTGAAGCAAACACAGCATGAGAGTCACTAAACATGATTTTTAATTTCAGCTTTGAACTTTGCTGTTTGAAGTATCTCCAAACCACTTAGAGCTTGCTCACGTATTAAAAAGACTAACATATTTTTCAAAAATATTACTGATCTGTAATTATTGACTACAATGGGAAACACTGATAGGGATGCACATGTGAGTAGACCTTTGTGCAGAGAGACCAGTATCTTAGGATAATGTGATCCATACATACTAAATTACATACTAAATTACATGGTTTGGCTTCTAAACTATGATTTTGGCTAGCTACATTCCTCCTCTGACAATGTTAACGTGCTGTAAAAAAAACCCAAACAACAAACCAAACAGAACTCACTGGCAGTTACATCATTTAACAATCAGTTTACAAAATGGAGATTGTACTCAGAGAGCAATATCACTTTCAGTTTATACATACAAGGAATTATGAAATTTAGACTTACTTCCTCGCTTCATTTCTATTTTATTATTATTATTATTATTATTTAATTTACCACTGCTAGCCAATTTAAACTTAGCATCTAGAATCTTAATTTAACAAGGAGAATCTGAAAACTTTTAATAGCATTTATCTAGCAAGTGACCAGGAATCTTGCAAATTCCCAGCAAGAAACCTGTGGGAACCTGAGATAAACCAAGATCTTTGGGGAAGCTAAAACAAATTAAAATACTCTGTAAATAATTGTTTGAGTGGGGTTTTCTACGCTTTTAATATACTCTGTGCGATACAGGTACAGAGCTAATCTTGTACCCTTGAGCAGTTCAAGTGGCTGTAAGCATCAGTGTCCTTGCATTCTTTTTGCCTATAATCCCACTCTCTCAAGGGAAAGCAGCATTTTTCAGAGCTATGCCACACAGCTCTAGAAGTAATTTTCCCATAATTGTATATATTGAAGCAGAAGAAATTACAAGGAAGTTGGCAGAGTCTCACTGTAAAATATTTCCCTCTGGGTAACAGACACTCAGGATTCTTGTCTCTGTTGAACTGCTAAATTAATAGCATCTAAAGGAGCAACACAGAGCCATAACATTGAAGAACTGCATGTGTAGCCATTTTTCCATTGTAAGAGTAGGGGACATGCACTGCAGTAAGCAGGACCCTTACACACCTCTCCTTTCCTCTTCCCAGGCAATCTGGCTAGCAGGACTGTGAAAGAATATTCCCCAGGCACCTTCCAGTGTCAGAGCTGGGCTATTGATTGGAAATTACAGTTCAGTGTTTACATTTAAGATGAAGGAGAAATCTATAATAATTGACCTCATTAACATGTAAGATTTTAGGATAAGTTTAGAATAATAAACATAAAGATGGATGAAACAGGACAAAGCTCCCCAGGGTTTAGAAAAAAAAAAAAGAGCATCTAATTTTTCATTCATCTCTTCACAGCCAGTGGTAACATCAGGCTAAATCTTTTACTAGAGCCTTTTGCCTACCTAGGTGTCTGAATGAGTTGCCATTCAGTATAGGTCCCCTCTTCCAGCATACTGTTGGTTTTCAAGAAACACAAAACACATACTAAAACTTATCTTTTCATGTAGACTTTGTTGTTAACCTCTCTGTGGGTGTGCCAAATCATTTTTTTACCAGACCCTCCTCCAGATGCAGTCATAAGCTCACAGGTTAACTCTAAACCTTTTCTTCAACATTGGAAGATAATGCAGGACTGGGTGTACATCTGCTCACATACTGCTTTATGAAAAAAAGATCATTGGTCACAAATCTATTTCCTTAAAAATGAAAGCTTTTTCTGAGAGAAGGGAACGGCAGTACATGTGAACTAGTCAGATTTTTACATATTGGATACACTGTATGCTGGGCAATTCTCAGTTCATCTAAAAAAGACTGAATTATTCTGAAAAACATACAGAACTAGTTAATGTATAATGCTAAGTTATTTGTAGAGAGGATGTCAGGCTGGAGGTAAGTTCTTAGTAAATGTGGCTGAGTACTGGTTTCATTAATTTTCCATTCACGATCCTGATACCAAAAGCAGTGATGTGGTTATGGAACTTCTGAAGATGAGAATATTATAGTTTATGAAATGAGTCATCCTGGTTATTACCAGAATAATTGTTCTGAACTAAAATGCTAAGTACATGGTTTTGGGATCAACAAATATTTCTGCTCTAACTTTGGAATCTGCTGGTTGAAAACAAAGGAAAAGAAAGATCTGAGTACCTTAGCAAAGCCACAGAAATAATTTTGCCATGAAACTGCCAAATACAACCTCCACTAAGGTGTTAAGTGGCAGTTGGTAGCATGGCTGAATAAGGTCTTGCATGTAATTTCAGTAAACTACAATCAAGAAATAAAAAAATCAAACTCAGAGAGATCTAGACAAGAACTATGAGAATGAGGAAGGAAATTAATGATTTATTTTATGACAAAAAGCTTTCATTTATTAAGCTGTCATAAAGAAGGGCCAGAGATGTCATTATTGCATTCTAGAACCACATCAAACAATAAACATGGTAGAAGACAGAGACTATTTTCAGCTACAGATGACACTAAAGGAAGAACAAGTGTGCCTAAAATTACCCTGTGAATACATGTAGGTGGAAAATTACGTTTTTAATAATCATATAAATTCTATTTGGATCATCCTTCAGTAGTTCAACTGGATTTTAAATGAGGTTTATTAGCTTATGAGTGAGATTACATGCTACTGCCTGAAAAAGCAAGGAAATAAACTTGTTAATGCAGCAGCCCTTTCCAGTCTTATTCTTTCTATTACTGGAAAAATAATTTGTCTCAGGCAACATGTTGATGAGCAGAGTTTTGTGAATTAAGACTCTTCCATGGATCTATTAATATCAACATTGACAGCTAGCTCTGAGATTCTGTGGGCAGGAAGTGTCAGCCTTGTAAAACCAGAGAATTACTATTTTTGCACTTCAACAAATTCTGCAGGCCATATGGTTGGAAACTGCAGCCTCTTCTCTGCATTTCAGACACTCACAAAACTCTACTATGAATACAAAGCAGCAAGTTTTGACGAATGGTTTAAGAATTGTGAAGAGCACAAACAGAGTCAAGGAACACAGCACATACAGCAGCTTTGAGCCTTTCCCCACTTGCACGTTAAACTGTGTAAATATGGAGGCCATGAATGCTTTGGCAGTAGCATGTGCACAGTGCACAGAGAAGCACCAACACCTTATTGAAAGCAATTTTTGGCAAGAGGTGGGCGATCCTGAAGCACAATTATTTTTATGGCCACCCTTGATGGTTGTTTCCAATGCAGTTATTGCTGACTTGAAGGTGTGTTTACAGACAGCTTTCCTCAAACCCAGTAGTACAGTTGTATACATACTTGTGCACTGACACTCTGTGTCTGGAAAACACACCAGATAAACAGACAGTCATCATCCCAAGTGCTTCTGTTTACGGAGACAAGCCCACTCACGTACTTGGAAACACACAACTTGGCTGGTAGTAACTGGGCTTGCCGTTTCTTGACGCTCCTCATTAGGACGGATTTGGCCCTCACAACAACCAGGTGCCACAGCAGAACATTGATGTCCCTGTATTTTGTATTTCCTTGGCTTCCACCTTCTTCTCTCCTCATCCTTTATACTTCAGTGCTTTCTGTTCTGGCTATCCCGTTAGGGGATCTCTAACCTGCCACAGCCCCGGTACTCGCACATCAGGCAGCGACCGCAGCCGTGCCGGGGTGCCCCCGAAGATCCCCTGGCAGCGCAGGCACGCTTCGGCTGGCTGCCCCAACCCCACGCACCCGCTGCTCCTCCAGCTGTGGCAGGGCTGCTCTCCTCCAAATCGGCCTCTGGCATAAACCGGCTCCAAGCACCCGCTCTACGACATCCCTGAGGAGGAACTTCCTTCCCTTGCCTTCCTCTGGCACTCGCGAAGCCCCATGCAACGGAGGAGGCGAGCGCTAGCCCCGACAAACCCACCGCGTCACCTTGTGCCCGGCCAGGCCAGGCCGCAAAGAACACAGCCACGCAGCCGCTGGAGGGCAGAGCGCGGATGGGGGCGGTGGCGATCGAGGGGCGGGCACTGCCGGGGACGCGGCCCCGGCGTGCGAGCATGCCGGGCCGGGAGGAGGGTTTGCTCGGCTGGGCCGGGGGAGGTTCACACTGAAGTTAGAGCTGGAGACAGAGGAAGAGGGAACGCTGCCGGAAGCGGCGGAGGCGCTGGGAGCCCGCGGACAGCATGTAGCTGGGTGACAGCGACTGGAGCGCTACGCATCCGCGATCAGTCTGCCTCGGGTGCTGAGGGGCTGGTGCCTCTCAGAGTCCGGAGCCTCTTCTGGGAGGCGGAGTGGGGAGCGGCAGCTGCGCCTCGTCTCTGCTCTTCCCCGCTCTCCCCTCTGTCTCCGGCGCCGTCCATCGGCGCGGCCCTCCCTCAGCCGCTCGCCCCTTCACCGCCGGCCGGGGGGCTGCGGCCGCTGCCATGGGGCTGCCCACGTTGGAATTCAGCGACTCCTATTTGGACAGCCCGGATTTCAGGGAGCGCCTGAAGTGTCACGAGATCGAGCTGGAGAGGACGAACAAGTTCATCAAGGAGCTGATTAAGGACGGCAGTCTCCTCATCGGAGCCCTGCGAAGTGAGTCGGGCGGGGGCGCTGGGTGCGGCGGGCAGGAGAAGGGGCTTCTTTTGTTTGAATGGGCGCCGGGAGCGGGCGGGCTCCCCTGCCGGCCGCCGCTGCGCAGCGCCTCGCACGCTTTCCCAGCCGCTTTGCCTCGCGTCGCCTCGCCTGGCCTGCGGCGGGACTGGGTGGGTTTCCCGGGGGAGCGGGGGCGGCGCGGGGCCCTACCCTGGCCGGCGGGACCGGCCGCGCCCGCCCCGACGGGGGCAGCGGGGAGCGGGCAAGAGCCCAGCTTCGGCGTTGAGGGCTGGAAATGGCCGTGGGAACTCGTTCTGGGACGTTGGCTGCTAAGTGGGTATCTTCAGATAATGAAAGTGACTGTAAACGGGCAGAGCAAGACACTGAAGTGAATTTATATGAACAGTTTATATCTCACGCACACCTCACATCCTCCCCTCCCCCGTCTTCATGTAGTAAAGTAACTTCTATGTATTTTGAAAGGTTCTGAAGGATAGGTGTGAACAGCTCGTGCCCTTAAAGCTCTGTGAGTTGAGCACTGACAGCTTCCCGGGGTGTGAAAACGGCCCTCATGCTTTGAAGAGCATAAAGCGAAAACTAGGAATTGCCATGAGCATTACTAGTCGCGGCTTGCCCTCCTGTTCTGTAACGCCGTGTCTACTGCTTGTCTTTAAGGACTTAATTTCGGAGCTCTCTTGTTGGCCGGTCAGAACTTTCCTTCAGATAGAGCAGAGAAGTACTTTACAGCTCTTGTGCTGCAACATGAGATATTCAAGGAAAAGAATCACTCTAATCCTGAAGAGTATCAGCCACATTGACAGGGTATGCTGCTTTTTGTAGGGTGAAGGGTAGCAAGCACTGCTCTATGTGGACAGAGAACAGGTGTTGCTTCAAGCTCATTAGCTCATAAGTAACCGAACTGACGCTAACTGGGAGTCTAAACCCAAAGTTTGTCCCTTTACGTGGGACAAGAGGTCGATACGTGAAGGTTTTGTTTGTCCAGCAGCAGAATATAACGTTAATTGTGCTTGTTTATGCATCAACTGTAGATGATTTATTTACAGCATTGTATTTATGCTGTATGACTTTTTTGGTAATAAGTGCATGTTTTTCTGGATTAATCTCAGATTTAGTGAGTAGATGGATACAAATCTAGCATCTTATATGAATTTGTGTTAAATTCAATAAATTCCTGTATTCGTGCCCACAGAATATGTGACGATAGAATACATAGAAAATGTGTGTGTATGGCTAAAACCTCAGTGGTGCATTTTCTTTCCAAAGCGAAGCATTTTGTTCTTTAGTTATACTTTCTCTTTGCTAAAAAGTATTCTCCATAGAACAGGAAGTTTGAGCTTGTTTTAAGTAGTAAAAGTGTAAGTTATAAAACTGTACTATTGCAAACTGGTGCTATAAGATGGTGCATGCAAATAGTAATGACAGGTTTAGGATACTACTTGGATGTTTTGTTGGCCTGGACTAGCACTGGAAATTGACTGGGTTTTGTTCCTGATCAAATAATAAACAAATACAGCTTTCATTATAAGTTGTCAAAGACTGCTGTAGAAGGAGTGTTGTTCTTGAGAAGTCATTTACAAATTGATTCTGGAGTAATCCCATTATTTTCGTGAAGAATACTTGTGAGTTCTTGCTAGATTTAGACCCTGTATCTACATGTTTACCAATTCTCTTACTCTTCAAGGAGCAGCACTGTTTCTGTCTTAAGTAATGACTACTTAACTTGCAAGTTTTCCTGATTTTTCAAACTTTTTGTCAAATGTTTGACACAATGCTTATTGAATTAAAATGCTGTGTGCTATAGTGTATTTTAGCTTTAGGAAAATAAGGTCTGATTTGTAGTAAGAAATATTTCTCCTTTTGTTCATTTCAAATCCCTTAGTTTCTTGACCATACCTTTCACAAAAATACTTCCTTAGTTCCTGTATTAGGACAACTAGGAAAATGTCTGTTTTTTTTCTAAACGAAAATAGAAATCCTGGATGTATGCTGTCCAGGCTGGTGCAGATGCTACAAGGACAGTGTACTTCTTATGGCAAGTAGTACTATTGTGTATTTCTTAAAGTAGAGAACTTCTGACTTGTTAAAGCACACTAGCTACTCCTACTCAGCTTTAAAATCAGTGGAGTGTAAAATACGTGTGCAAGGCTTTATTGTTTTTCTTTAATTCTTTTAAATTGTCAATGAAAAATCTAATCAAGCAGTGGAGTAAGTAGTTGATTACAGTGATGAACTCTTATGATTTGATCTTTGAATATTTAATAACCTATGAGCTCTGAAGAGAAGCACGCGTTATTGACCGTGTTTTATCTCTTTAGGTGATAGGATTTTTCATTTACATATCACTTTTGGAGGATCAGTTCTGTTGTGAGTGAAAAATCCGGGCTTTGCTGCAGAGCTTCAGTGGAAATGAATTTTGGAACATGTCCTTCCTGACCATGTTTAGAGAAGAGACAGTGAAGCTGACTTAACACAGTTAGAAAATACTATAATCTTTAAAAGTTACATACATTTAGTATCTCATATATAATATGGGACTACAGTGCATGTTTTTTTCAGATGGAATTAAACTTCTGTATTACAGAAGTTACAAAATACTTATTTGTGCATAATCCAGTATGTAAGAAGTTACTATAAAAATGCAGTAACATCAGAACCTGATGAGATTGCACATAAATTGAGGGTAGAACAAATACAATTAATTTAGTATACAAACATTTTGCTTTTTAATTGGAGTGATCCCAAGAGAAGTTCGTATACTATTTTAACGTGGTTCATTCTGAAGAGTGCTGCTTTCCAAACTGTTTCCAGAGCTGTAATACTGTGTTCCATGAACCGGTAGTTGACATTTTGCTTCTCCTAAATATGTAAGACTCTGGGAGTACCTCAGAAAAGGTCAGGTTATATGCTCTAGTGTAGTCAAGTGTTAGCGTTACATTTGTATGGCTATTGTGCCAACTTCAGCCTTGTCCTGCAATTAGTATTTGCACTGAGAGACTATATTTTTGTTTTGAAATTAACTGAGGTACTAAATACCCTACTAACTCTTGAAAGGCTTAAGCTTATGCATATAATGGGTGTTCCTGTTACATTAAAAAGTTATCTTTCGACAGAGGTTTAACTCTCTGTGTAGCCACAATTAAATAGCAGCACATAGTTTTCTCTGGTGCACCTGGAGGGGATGATTCCTTTGCTGTTAACTTACGAATTTGAAAAAAAAACAAACAGACTTTTTAGAAAAAATGATCTCCTGTTGCAACTGGCCATCTTGATGATTAGGTAACTGTTGCTTCGATAACTTTTTTTGGGCACCTAATTTAATAGCTCTTTCAGATGCATGTTTAAAATGCATATGCTTAAATGCTTCATATAGTGAGATCCATCTGTAGCTGGATGTTGAAACTGGAATTTTTTCTTCTCATTGATTCCAGCTTCTTTTCAATAAAAACATCAAGTCTGTTGTACTTTTTGCCAGTAGTGTACTTTGTAATTTCTTTGTAGTTGCCTTGTTAAAACTCAACCTATTCTAGGGCATTGTCATATACATTATATGGGAAATTTCATTATAGAATTACTTACATGTTTTTGATTTCCATAATAGGCCTACTGTTTTGCTAGAGTCAATGAATATTGTATTAAACAATCCCAAAAAGTAACATGCATCTTCTACAGGTGATCTCGTGGCTTATTGCTGTGCAAATCCCTTCAGTCTTCCCCTCTGATTTTTGAGGCCTTCTTGCTCCATCTAAGTCCTATTTTAGCACCAAGTTTGTGTATTCAGAGATGGGAACTATGTAAATTTTGGTTTAAATGGTTCAAAATTCAGTGGATTTGCAGCTGTTTTAAGTAATGCTGTACCTTTTAAGGTGTTTTAATATGATGCAAACAGTAATGCAAAGCTGTAGTGTAATATAAGATTTAACAAATATATTTAGGAATTTTTATTTAGTAGAAGTCATTAGTAGTTTTATTTTACTACTTAAATGCATGGAGAAACAGAGAAACAGGCACAAGATGGAAATGCCATCTTTTGTGAGGGGAGGGTCTGAGGGGGTGTTTTTTAACAGAGTTTTATAGAAATTCCATACAGAAAAGATTATCTTGAAACTGTTTTGGCATATAGTTTTCAAGGATAACTTTCTTGTCTCAAAAACCTACTTATAATGGGACGGTGATGAACCTGCGTATGTGCATGGAAATCCGGGGGGGGGGGGGGGGGGGGGGGGGGAGGTGTAGCTGGCTGGAGAAAAAAAAAGCCTGCAGAAGAACCTATGATCTTGTTATCTCTCTTGGGAATCTTTTTTTCTATGTACCCCGCCCTCTTATATTTTTCCAAAGAAATGCATTTTCCCAGATATCTTGGCTTCACATTATTTTCATGAGCTTTTATCTTTACAATGTCTTTTCCAGATTCTGACTGGAGCAGGGCTGAGTTCTTTGAATAATAACCACCAAAGTTTGATAGCAGTCATTCTCTGCTATTAATACAGATTCTGAGTAAAACAATTGATTCTTCATGTTCCTCATGTGATACTATGATGTCAAACATGGAATGATAAAAGTATAGCTTACTAGTGGGAATTTCAGAAATAACTCATATTGCCTTTGAAAATTTATTACTTTTGAGTCTTTTTAGTCATAAAATACAAAAATGCGTAACTTACCTTTCATGTTAGGATTGGGTGAGAGGCAGGGCGCTACAACATGTTACATTTCTTAGTCTCTAAAATCTGTGATTCTATTGCCAAATGGGAAAAAAGTTTTCCACTAAAAGGAAGTTGAACCCTAGTAATTTGCCTTAATGTTTTGAAGTCATTTGCTTCCTCACTGTTCTGTTACTTCTGATAGGCGTTTGTGCTGTCCTGCTCAGCTTCTGCTGATGTCTGAATTATCTATGGATTATGGATGGAACTTTTAAAAGCAATTCAACAGGGTTCAGCCTTTCATGCAGATACCAGCAATAAGCTGGTTCTTGTTCAGAG